AAAAAAACTGGATTGGGAGATAGTCAAGGGTTGGAGCACAAGCCTTGCATGCTTCTTGGCCTCCAGCACCACTGGTCAGTCTATACCTAATCGTGAGGACCAGCACTGAGGGGCCTCACCAGGAGGGGGTCCATGCCAAACACTGTTAAAGGGCCACACCACTCCCACCAAAAGAAAACAAACCAATCTACCACCTGATTTGATTTAGATTCTTTTCATTCATAAGCTAAGTGGATAACATTCAGATTATTACTCAATCGATTTATCTGTGTTGTCAGCCGCACAGAGTTTTACAACCATAAAATTATATATATTTTGAGTTTTACTTTTTGTTTTTTGGGCCACACCCAGTGATGATCAGGAGTTACTTCTGGCTCTGCACTCAGGAATTACTCCTGACAGTGCTTGAGGGACCGCATGGGATGCCAGGAATCAAACCTGGGTCAGCCGCATGCAAGGTCCTACTCACTTTACTATTGCTCTAGCCCCTTGATTTTACTTTTTTTTTCTTTTTGGGTCACACCTAGCGATGCACAGGGGTTATTCCTGGCTCTGGACTCAGGAGTTACTCCTGGCAGTGCTCAGGGGATCATATGGGATGCTGGGAATCGAACCCGGGTTGGCTGCGTGCAAGGCATACGCCCTGCCTTCTGTGCTGTATCTCCAGGCCTTTTGATTTTACTTTTAAGAAAAATTTATTTTCATTTCCACTTCTTTTTTTTTTTTTTTTTTTGCTTTTTGGGTCACACCCGGCGATGCTCAGGGGTTACTCCTGGCTCATGCACTCAGGAATTTCCCCTGGTGGTGCTCGGAGGACCATATGGGATGCTGGGAATCGAACCTGGGTCCGCCATGTTGGCTGCATGCAAGGCAAACGCCCTACCTGCTGTGCTATTTCTCCAGCCCTCATTTCCACTTCTATACTCCAGTATGGTAGGATGTTTGCCTTGCGCGCAGCCAGCTCGGCCCGAGCCGAGTTCGATTCCTCTGCCCCTCTCGGAGGGCCCGGCAAGCTACCAAGAGTCTCTCACCCACACGGCAAAGCCTGGCAAGCTACCCATGACATATTTGATATGCCAAACACAGTAACAACAAATCTCAAAATGGAGACATTACTGGGCTCGCTCAAGCAAAATCGATGAACAACAGGAGGACAGTGTTTGTTCCACTTCTATAAATGTATCCCACAGAATTCTCAGCAAGAGATCAGAGGTGATATATGTGTGCATGTGATATATATATATATATGTGTGTGTGTGCGTGTGTGGTAATATATGTGTGCATGTGATATATATCATGATCACCCTGTTGTTCGTCGATTTCCTTGAGCAGGCACCAGTAACGTCTCCTTCTTCCTAGCCCTGAGATTTTAAAAGAGCCATTTCAATGCTCTTTCAGGATTAGGAGAATGAGACCCATCATTGTTACTGGTATTTGGCATATTGAGTACAACACGGGAAGTTTGCCAGACTCTGCCGTGCGGGCAGGATACTTTCGGTAGCCTGCCAGGTTCTCCAAAGGAAAAAAAAAGATAGTAAGATGCGGCCGCGCGCTTCCGGGAGCTGGATTTTATAGTCTCTGCGTCTTGGCCGTTGATGGGACAAACCTGGCGCTGGCGGCAGCTGGTGGGTATGAAGCTTACCTACTGGAAGATGGGGGATCTGGTTGGAGAAGGCCCAGGCCCAATCCGTGTAGGCTTGGAGACCTCAGCCCCGGGACCCGCATGCTTGGGTTCCTCTGCCAGTTCTTTCATGCATGAGGCCCGTCCGGATGTGTGAAGAGTGGTCCCAGCATGCCCGTGGCTGGCTCCAGAGGTCCTCAGCTGCTGGGGCTCTGCTCAGGGCGGGGGGAGGGGGGGGAGGAGAGAAACTCAACCCTCCCCCCTCCAAGGGGCCCCAGTGAGGACGGCCAGGCACGGGGGCAGGAGACTCTGTGATACACACACATATATATATATATATGTATCTTTGTGATATATATACATATATGTGTGTGTATGTGTGTGTGTATATATATATATTATATATATATATATATATATATGATTTGGGTCAAAGCAAGCGGTGCTCAAGGACTATTACTGATTCTGTGCTCAGGAGGGAACCCTGGCAGTGTTGAGGGGATCATATGAGGTACCAGAGACTAAACCAGGGTTGGCTGCGTGCACAGCAAGTGCCTTCCCTGCTGTATTATGTCTCCATTACAAATATTTTATAAGACAATCCAATGCCCACTGGTAGAAGACTAAATAATGACACATTAACACAATGAAAAACTATATAGCTACTGGGGCTGGAGAGATAGCACAGCGGGTAGGGCGTTTGCCTTGCATGTGGCACGTGGCAGACCCCGGGTTCGATTCCCAGCATCCCATATGGTCCCCTGAGCACCGCCAGGAGTAACTCCTGAGTGCAGAGCCAGGAGTAACCCCTGTGCATCGCCAGGTGTGACCCAAAAAGCAAAAAACAAACAAACAAACCAAAAAACAAAAAAAACTATATAGCTACCAAAACCAAAGAAGTTGACTTCTTTGGTCTCTATTCTGGGGCAACCGGCATCTCAATTTAGGATGTGTCATTCCTTTCTTTTCTTTATGCGCTACCCACTCTCCCCTCTGGAGAAACCCACATTCTCCCTTGAATACTCTCTCTCTCTCCCCCCCCCCCCCATGGTTCCTACATAAAGCTGTTTTCCTAAATACAGAGGGGAAGGCACTTACCCTGTATGAAGCCAACCCAGTTCGATCTCAGGTGCCCCATATGGTGCCCTGACCCTACCAGTAGTGATTCCTGAGTGCTGAGCTGAGAGTAAGCCCTGAACATTACCAGGTGACTGCCAAACAACAAAAAGCCAACATAAAAAAACTATTTACTTTAAAAAAACAAAGGGGGGGGGAATTTCAGGGAGATAGGTACCAGAACCACAAGATACCCCAAGCACCAAAGGAAAAAATGAGTACTTTGATTGTGGTTTTCTTATAGGAGGTAAAACAAGAGCCAGGGACATGTGTGCGGTTATTCTCCATGTACAGATAAGAAACAGGTACAAAGCAATTATGTTCCCTTGAAAATTAGCTTCACTTAATCACTTAATCACTTAACTTCCCGTTAGTCGTCGATTTGCTCGAGTGGGCACCAGTAACGTCTCCATTTGTCCCTGTCGCGTGCTAGTGTAGCCCAATGGCATCTGTTCGCTCCGGGAACATGAAGGGCCTCAAACCGATCGTTCATGATCTTGACGAAGAAGTCTGACCATCTGGTAGGTGGGCGGCCACGCGGTCTTTTGACATCCCGTGGAATCCAATCAGTAACAGCTCTAGTCCAACGGTCGTCTTTAAATCTCATTACGTGACCAGCCCATCTGATTTTCGACACCTTGGCAAATGAGACAGCGTCCCTGATCCTTGATCGCCGACGGATGTCAGAACTCCGGATTCTTTCTCTCATTTGAGTGAAACGTGATATTCCAAGCATAGCTCTTTCTATTCTTCTTTGGGAGACCTGAATAGCGTTCTCATCTTGTTTGCGTAGGGCCCAGGTCTCTGAGGCATATGTTAATGCAGGAAGAACAGTGGAATCAAAGAGATGTGCCCGGAGCCGGAGGTTCTTCGTCCTCTTAGCTATTTCTTCGACGTTCTTGAAGGCGTTCCAAGCCGCTCTCTTCCTCCTGCGCAGCTCGGGTGCCAGGTCATTTCTCATGTTGACCTCTCGACCTAGGTAGACATAGCTGTTGCATTCGGAGATGGTCGTTCCATTGAGAGCGATATGCCAAAACCAGTAACTACAACTGGTCTCATTCACCTGACCAGTAGCTTCACTAAGTACAAAAAGAGAGATTGTTGGGGGGGGGCGAGAGAGAGAGAGAGAGAGAGAGAGAGAGAGAGAGAGAGAGAGAGAGAGAAGAGCACAAAGGACCAGAGCTCAGGTTCCACAAGCACTGAACCCCAAAAAGGGCAGGTAGATGATGGTGGTTGTATCTAAGAAGTTCAAATGTGGTCCCGAGGGGCAGAAAGGATAGAGGGGTTAAGAGGCAGCCTTGCATGCAGCCAAGCCTTCAACGCCAACCCTGCCTGGTCCCCTAGCACCACAGGTTGTAGTCCTGAAGGTCCCCAAGTGCTGCATGTGTGGCCCTGGAGATCTTCAGACACCCCCAGGGATACCTTCAGGGTTCTCTGGCACTGTAGGGCCAGAGGAGCACCACATCCTCGAACCCCTGCAGTGAACCATGGGCCTAGCTGACTAGGAATCACAGGAGTGGCCCCAGTCCCTCAACCACTGCTCAGGATGCCTCCGCCCCACCCCCAAATATTCACAGTGAGATAGTACAGTGGGTAAGGCACTTGCCTCACACGCAGCTGACCTGAGTTCAATCCCTGATGCTATGTATGATCCCCTAAACACTGTCAGGAGTGAGCCCTGAGCACAAGTTGGTGTGGCCCAAACAACGCAAATCAAAAAAAAAAAGAAAAAAATACTTTTAGTGGCAGATAACTCATATTCTCTTTGTATATGTATTTAAATAATAACTTAAATAAATTTAGCTAAGGGTCTCTACAAGATGTAGTTGTGGAGGTTACATTTCTTTTCCTAATTAACTGAAGCAAAGTCTGCAAAATGCCACTAGGGGTCAGCGCAGAGCCACCTAGCAGACCCTAATGCGGAAAAATAAATGGTTACATAAGAATCCATATTAATAATCCTATCAAATTAGAGGCTATTTACATGAAGAGCCAAGTTCCCTTCCAGAGTTGGCTCCATTAACAGAGATTTCCCAGACCAGATAGTATCAAATTCTGCCAAATTATATTTATATTCAACATTTAAGAAATAGCCATTACAAAATTCATTCAACAAATTAGAAACAGCTAAACCAAGATCAACACACACTGTAGTATTAAATATGTTCTTACCTGCTCTGGTATGAAATCATTTGGGCACATACTTGGCTGATAATTATTAAATGTTTGTTGTAAATATTATTTTATACATTATGAAGCAGCATTTAAACTTCAACTTGCCATACTTTATTTTACAATGCCAGGGATCCAACCCAGGGTCTCAAAGACCCTCTTCCACCGAGCCACAATCACAGTCAAGTTATCTTGTTTTTATAACGTGCCATTTAAATATCAGCATGTTCTCCCGACACAAACTAAGGATTACAGGCAGCATCTTGTTTATGAAGTGAGGTATACAAGCATATGCTCTGGCATAATAGTGGATTATTTAATTGGTTTTCTTTTTTCTTTTTGTGGTTTTGGGGCCATACCCAGCAATGTGCAGGGCTTCCTCCTGGCTCTGCACTCAGGGTTCACAACTGGCAGGGCTTAGATGACCATATGGGGTACCAGGGATTGAACCTGGGTTGGCTGTGCGCAAGGTAAGTGCCTTAATCCTTGTACTATTTCTCCAACTAGTGCCCTACTCACTGTACTATGGCTCTATATAGTCACTTTTCTGAGAGCAGTTCAATCTGCTGAGTTACGCACATGATCCATTTCAAAAGGGGAAAAGCAGGGCTGAGAGGCCCTATTATCACTGGCACCTGATTTCCTAATCGATTTTAGTGGTTTTCTTCCCCTTAACTGTCACTCTTCGGGGCCAGAACAATAGTACAGTAGGTAAGGCGTTTGCCTTGCTCAGGGCTCACCTGTGCTCAACACCTGGCATCTCATATGGTCCCCTGAGCACCACCAGGAGTAATTCCTCAGTGCAGAGCCAGGAGTATCCACTGAGCAATGCTGGGTGTGACCCTCCCCCCCAAAAATAAATAAAAGAACTGTCACTCTTTGGCAGTTGAAATCACATTTTCCCTAGACGCTAAAATGATTAATTTATGGTCAATGTGGTCTTAGATCCCTTTCATGATCATTTATCTAAGACTCCTTATAGGAAAATTACTGAACACAGTCAGCTTAAGTAATGTAGCAGGTGACTCTCAGGGTAACAGTCCCTGCAGCCCCAACACTTCTGCCAAACTGCAGCATGGGGGGCAAGGCTCCCAATCCAGCCATGGCTCTCAGGAGCAATTGGCCCCAAGGAACTTCTGTCCCTCCTGCCGAGGCTTCTGACTCAGCCTTCACCCCACCTTCCCCTTGTTTGGAGTCAGGGATGAAAAGGAGCTTGAGGTAGGGGTTCTGGAGATTATATATCTATAGATTATCTATCTATCTCTCCATTTTTATCTATCTCCCACCCAGCAGTGCTCAGGGCATCCTCCTAGCTCTGCACTCAGGAATCACTCCTGGAAGAGCTTGGAGGACCACATGGGATGCTGGGGATCAAACCCAGCTCAGCCATGTGCAAGGCAAGTGCACTAACCATTGTATTCCGACTCTGACCCCTACACAGCTCCTTTTTCTGAGAGCAATTCAATTCGCTGAGTTACCCACATGATCCATCTCAGAGGGGGCCCGGGAAAAGCAGGAGTGGGCGTCAGTATTATCACTGGTACCTGATTTCCTATTAGAACAGTCTTAAGCCTTCTTGCTAAAGGGCCCAGAGGCCACCAAAGAGAACATGGATCCCTGACCACAGCACACCCTGCCTGGCACAGCTCTGGCAGAGCATGTCCTGTTTCTTCCCCTGAACAGCTTGTGCTCTTGGTAAGCAGAATCCTGGTGCAAGCAGATGTTTAATAAACATTAAAAAGGCCCATTAGTTGCATGAATAAATGGCAGGCTGAGCCCCGTCTTCTGACCAGCATTTGCCTGTGCTGCACCTGGGGAGAACTCCCACTTCTTTGGTCAGTAAAACAATAAACAACAGTGTTGGGATTGTGGCCGAAAAAGTCCATGGGCTTGAAAGAATGTCGAGGGTCCCCAAAGCTGTCTCTGAATCCTGGAACTCAAGAGTCATACACCAGTGAGGCGGTGCTCCAGACCAACCACCATCAGTACTCAAGCACAGTGTCTGGTGCCTGGGGCACCTGCAGCCCCCATAGGGTCCTGACTAGCCCCGCCCTGCACCCCCAGGTCCCCTGAGACATCAGCAGGACTAATCAAGGGGCCCCATGGAGGGACCAAAAAGCTATAGGTCCTGTTCGGAAGCCTCCTAACTTCTAAGCCCTGCACTGCTCTGGTCTCACAGATGCTGCAGGAGCTTGTGCAGCAAAGGTGGGGCCAGCTGCCTCCGAAGGAGCCAGGAAACGTCCAGCATGGCTACTCGATGTTATCATAGACCTGGATCACATCCTCGTGGTTGCTGAGAGCCTGGATGAGGTAAGAGGCCTGTTCCAGATCAGGGTCAGTCAACTGCACCTTCGTGTTGGGGATGAACTCAAGTGCACAGGACACAGAACACAAGCCCAGGGAGTCCAGCTTCTTCCTCACTTGATGCAGTGAAGAGGCGTCGCAAATAAACTATAGAGGAAGGAAGGAGAGTCCAGAGTGAGGTGCTGGAGGCAGCAGGACAGAGCCACGCAGAGCTCTGCAAAGTCCCAGATGGAACTAAAATGCATCCCTGGGTTTAAAGTCTTCATTGGCAGAGGGAATTATGTTTTTTGGGGGGGAGGGTGGAGGGGGTATGTCAACACCCAGCCATACTCAGGACTTACTCCTGACTCTGCTCAGAGATCATTCCTAGACATGCTCAGGGGAAAATATGCTGGGCCAGGGATGGAACCCAGGTCAACCAAGTATAAGACAAGTGCCCTGCCTGCTGAGAGAGACTAAGTCTCCAGCCCCAGAGACAGTTTCTAGTACTCTGACTCCTGAAGGGACAAGTTGTCAGGAGTGTAAGCCCAATCCATTACTCACTTCCTGTGTGACAGGTAAAGTCTTTATGTCACCAGCACCCAGGAAGGAGCATCTCACCGGAGTATCTTAATCTGCCTACAGGGTCTTCTCCTGAGCGAGGCGCTCACACTCACTTTAAAAATGTTCTTTTCCTCTTCATCTTCCGCTTCCGTAACATCCTCAGCTCCGGCTTCAATGGCCAGCTCGAGGGCACGCTCCAGGTTCACAGCCTTCTTCTCTCTGTCCTCCATGCCAACCACAACCACCCCCTTTTTGTCAAAGGAGTGGCGAGCGCCTTCAGCTATCATGCCCCTGAAAGGAAGGGACACAGGCCACTGTGAATGCCTTAGACCCTCCGTCTCACACCCCCAGCCACTGAAGACTACGAGATGCGAGGTAGCTCGCTTCCTAAGGGAACAGCCCAAACCCACCTCCACCCTCCAGTTACTGCCCTGATTAGAATCGGAAGGCAAAGGCTGTGCTCCTCGGTTTGGTGCTGCTGAGGGTCCAGTTCTACAGTGCATTTGAAGACCCAGACATTCGGCGGCTGCAGATGGGGCAACGGGACAAAGAGCCCTTCTTGCACTGATGAACAAATCCCTGGGATTCTGCCTAGTGCAGAAGGGAGACTACATCTGGATTTATTCTGCGTAAGTCAGGCCCCATCTGGATTCTGCAAAGGACAAAGTGTGCCTCAAACCCAAAACACCACCAGGGCATAAAAGTCTGGACTTTTCTTTCTTTTTTAAAAAACATTTTGCTCTTAGGGCCACACCCAGCTGTGTTCAGGGTTTTTCCTGGCTCTGTGCTCAGGAATCACTCCTGGAGGTGCTCAGGGGTACCAGGGATTGAACCAAGGTTGGCTGTGTGCAAGGCAAGTGCCCTATCCCTGTACTATGACTCCAGCCCACAGGTTGTACTTTTCTTGTGCAGATGTGAAACTAAAGGGTCCTTCCGCTCCACTCTCCCCAGGCACACAGACCTACCCGTTCTTGTTCAGGATATGCCTGATGTCCGAGTAGCACTTGTGGCCGCTGTTAGATAATGCCTCAATGAGCAGCAAGGAGCCACCAGGGCCGCGGCCCTCGTACAGCAAATAAACCCCTTTGTTTTTCTGCAATAAAACACACACACATACATTCCCCATTTCTCAAGCCTCCTAAGGCCACTGTGTTCCCAACAGTGAGTCACAGGCAGCCAAAACTGGCCACCCAGCCGAGCTTGGCAGGATGAGGCCTAGACTTCCAGGTATTTATTTCAGCCCTCAGGCTCCAGAGGAGGTCTTCAGGACCAAGATTTTGGGGAGCCCATATCCTGCTGTGCTCAGGGGCCCAGATGAGGACTTGAACCAGGATTCCAATAAAGCCGGGGGCCTGCGTTCTTAATTCCTGTTCTCTCTCCAGTCCAAGACCAACTCTCCAGGACAGACTCTGCACCAACACTCTCCCCTCCACCCCCCCCAATTTGTTTCCTCCCCTCGCAGTCTAGTTACACACTTGTACCCCCTCTCTCCCACCATGCCTCCCCTTCCTGCACCCCCTCCTGCACAGAACCCCCGTGAGGTGTCAGGTTCCTACCCCAGGTTGCTGAGTCCAGAAAGTCCTCACCTGAAGTCACTGATAGATTCTTGGAAACTTCAACTTTAAGGGAAATGACATATAATGAGGGCTGGAGTGACAGTACAGTGGGTAGGGCATTTGCCTTGCATGGGACCAAGCAGGTCTGATCCCCTCCTCAGCACCCAATATGGTCCCCTGAACTCTGCCAGTAGTGATCCCTGAACACAGAGTTAGGAGTAAGCCCTGAGCACCAGAGAATGCAGCCCCAAAGCCACCCACCCCCCAAAAAAAACAAACAAAAAAATCCCAGAAACAAATAGAAGAAGTGACATATAATGAAAGTAAGTCCTAGAGTAGTGTTTTAACATCAGGGAGGATTTTGTTATCAATGTTATGATGAATCCAAGTGCAACCAAGCAATGTTATATGAGGACCAGCAGTATCATCAGGAAAACTCACACTCTGGTGCTTTATCCTAAGGACAACTGAAAAATGTCAGGCCTCCAACATCTAATCCGTGGGGGACTCTAATGGCTGCTGGCACCTCTTGCACTGCTTCCACCTCCAGCCCAGGCATCAGGTCTTTACCACACTCCAAGAACCCACCCTTCGGCCTTCCCTGGATCATTCGACCAATGAACTCTCCCTTCCTCTTTCACAAAGTAAAAAACAATCTGCTGGAGGTGGGGCTTCTATCACACTTAAGGCTTTGGTTCTCAAGGGTGACTGTCACAAGTATGTCATCTACTGGGTGGCCAAGTCACCTGACCTTCCTGTGGCTCAGTTTACATGGAAGGTTGTTTTGAAAGGTCAGTAAAATAACACATGTGGAAAAATGAAACAAGATTCAAAAAAAGAACACAGAGCTCTTATTTAAGTGCCAGGCTCGGGGAAGCCCTCATTAACTATTCCCTCTGAAGAGGATTATTACTGTCTCGGAGCCTTTCTACTTGAAATAGTATAGCAGAGAACATGAAATAGTCTCAGATAAACAACGAATCCCTCACCTGGACTCAAAGACAATTCTCCTACCAGGACCCTAAATCCCTTCTTCTCCCATCACTCCCCTTCCCCTTTAGGGCAAAGACACATGAAAAAATATCCCTTCCTCAGTCCAACACTGGGACTTCCCCACACGTTCCGCTTCCTTCCACTCTGCTCCTCCAAATTCAGCCCAGCCATCTCAGAGATGCCTTGTGCTGTTCGAACCGCTGACTGGCTACCCTACCCCCGAGCCATGCTGCTGTGACCAACGGCCAAGAGCAAGAAATCACCAGACGATCGAGGGTGTCAACCTTGCCACCACCTGTAATTCACAGGGGGGCTTAGTGATCTTCCAACATGGACCCTGCGGAACCCATGGGCAGTGGTGAGAGGGTCAGGCTGTAGACACACCTCCATTTTCAGAGAGGCCTCAATCGTTGACTTGGGCATGTGCTTGCTGCGACACACCTCTAAGATGTTGGCCAGGTTGCTGTTGAGCTCAGGGTTGGGGCCGCCCTCTGTGAGGAAGAAGAACAAAGAGTGAATGGAAACAACATGTCTTTAAGGCATGGGAGAACAAGAGTCATCTCCAACCCTTCCCACCCCCAATCCCAGACTCCCCCTAACACAAAGAAGGCGGCAAGCCTTGGGTTAGTTGGGCTCACTTTACCCACTGTTTGAGTGCTAGGATACAGAGGGGACACATTTTGTAAAAGAAGTTTCTAATTCCTCTTTATAGCAGGGCATCTTTCTGCTGGGTTTCCATGACTACCGCTTTGCATCAGATGGAAAGGCAAGAGGTTTGGCTGGCACAAACCTCTCCTGACTTTACTAAAACCTTTTTATCTCACTTCAAATTTTTTTTGGGGGGTGGGCACACCCAGTAATGCTCAGGGTTTACTCCTGGCTCTGAATGCAGGAAGTACCTGGTGGGCTTGGGGGACCATATAAGGGGTTGGCCTGTGCAAGGCAAATGTTCTACCCGCTGTACTATCTGTCCAGCCCAAAGTCCAGGCTTTTTACAGGACCGTTTCTCCGTTTTGGCATCTGACACTCATACACACAGAAAACATGTGATTTTTTTGGAGGGGAGGGGTATAAGGCAACTAAGAAAAAAACCGGTCAAAGGCGGGACCATTAACTGCTGACCCCAATGCCCTACCGCGGCGCCACGAGAGGGCGCTGCTGGGCAGGCGCTCCACCCCCTGGACGCCCGCGACTTCCCTCCGGGACTGGGTTTCAGAGGGACCAGGCTGCAGCCTAGGACCAGATGACTCCCACCTCCATCTCTTCCGAGGAGCGGTAGGCTCGCTCTCTTGGCAAGCTAGTGGGCGCTCGGCGTCTGGAAACGTGAGTGGTGACACCCCGTGCGGGCCGCGTTTGGAGGGTTTAGGAAGAGTGGCAAGGGTGGGAGCTGGGGCGACGAGAAAACTAAAGAGCTGAAAGTCTGGGATGGGCCCCGGCGGGAAGAGGCCAGGCGCTTCCTGCCTCTTTCTAGAGTCCGGGGGCGGGAGCCTAGCAGCTGTGCTGAGGGCTTCACTCCTGGCCGGGCTCCGGGTCTCGAACTCGGGGTGGGCAGCACGCCAGGCGGGGCCCGTGCGGAAGGGCCTGTCTCCCGGCCCCCCAGGTCCCTACCTTTCACCGCCAGGCGGATGCTCAAGCAGAGCTTGGAGAAGATGCGGCTCCTCTCCAGGTCCTTGGGGCCCTTGATGTGCCGGACTTTGGACCACTTGTTGTGTCCGGCGGAGACGGCCGCGGTGAGATGCAGCGTCTGGTGTCCGGGCGCGGGCCGGGAGATGTCGGGGGCGCGCCCGAGGACGGCCGGGACCCGCCAACCTGGACTCGCAGCCCTGCCCAGGCCCACCGCGAACCGAGCCGCCATCCGGCCCGACCCAGCGCCAAGGTCAGGGAGAGGAGCGAGAGGAGCAGAGGCAAGGGGAAGCCGCCGCGCGCAACGCGGGAACAGCCGTGAGCAGCGCCCGCGGCGGCTCGCACGGATCCCGGACGCCTGAAGGCACAGTGGGTGCAGCCAGGAAGCCACCGGCCGGCCCCGTCCCGACCCGGCAGCTCCCGGGAGTCAGAACCCTGGACGGGCCCGCACGCTTCCGGTCTCCGGTCCGTCCCGCAAAGGCGTCCCCGCCGCCCCGCCGAGGCCGTTCCGCCACCGCTCCAGGGCATGCCCAGCGGCCGGGCGCGTCCCGCGGGTGCCCAGGGCCCTCGGCGTGGCCGGGGGCGCGCGGGTCTGTATTTCCCACGGGGTTGCAGAGAAACCTCGGAGTTCTGACATTGATTTTTTTTTTTTTTTTTTGCTGTTTGGGTCGCACCCGGCGATGCTCAGGGGTTACTCCTGGCTCTGCACTCAGGAATTACTCCTGGCGGTGCTCAGGGACCATATGGGATGCTGGGAATCGAACCCGGGTCGGCCGTGTGCAAGGCAAAGGATTGTTGGTATTTTACAAACTTTCTTATCTTTTTATGGATCAGACAGGATGATTTCATTTAGGACTTTACCTGGAGCCCTCACAAGAACTTAAAATTTCATTGCTTTATGTAACCCAAAAGAGGTTTCTACTAAAAACACAGGATTACTTTCCTGTGTTTCTTAACCCTTTCCATATTTAACTCATCAGCATTAGTTTTATTTTTTAAAACAGTGTCTTAATCCCTGCTGCCCTATGTGTCTTGCAGTAGTAGGTGATTTTGGGGGGTTAGCTTTGTAACCCCGGGCTTTCTCCAGTTCTTTGAGCTTGTATTTTATGATTAAGATTCTGAGTGAGTGGATTTAAACTCCACTTTTCTCCAGGCAAGTACGTGTATTTCCCTTCCCTGAGCTAAAGAATGGCCTTGTGAGAATTAAATGGTATAATAGGTGTAGCGGCACAGATTTTATGTAATTTATTTTGTTTGGGGGGCACATCCACCTTGCTCATTTCTTGCTTCTGGCTCTCTGCTCAGGAGACCCTATGTGAATGCAATTACTCTCAGGGATGTTGATCCCCAGATCACCCGCATGCAAGCCCCCTACTACCTGTACTATCTCCTGGCTCTACTTTATGTAATTTTTAAAAAACCACCTTTTGGTTTCTTTCTGCCTTGAATATCCTTCACTGTCTTCCCGGAAGGATCATTTTCATGCTTCATGATCCAGCTCAGCTGTACTGTATCTATGAACCCCCGATAAGCCACTCGTTTATGTATTTATTTATTTATTTACTTACTTATTCCACACCTGGCTCTGCACTCAGGAATTGCTCCTGGAGGGCTCACAGTACCGTATGGGATATGAGGATCGAATCCAGGTTGGCTGCACACAACCACCCTACCCACTGTATTCTCTCCAGCCCCACAAACCCAATTAAAGGGGTAGAATGGTTTTCGGTATCTACAGATTTGTGGAACTTTCACCAGATGACATTTAATCACACCTTGAGACCCTCCCGCCCTCCCAGCAATACCTGTTAGAAGTTACTCCCCACTTCTCCCCAGTCTCCACTCCTAGGCAATTTATTTCTAGCTACAGTTTGCTAGGATGTTTCATCCTAATGGTAATGATTTCCTGTACGAAATTGTCTCTTTGGACTAGCTTCTTAGCTGTGTCACACGAAGTGTGGGCTAGTACTTTATGCTCCTTACTGCATGCACCAGATTATCAATCAATGGGTATTTAAATCAGTTCCTTATCTGGGAGAACTCTCGAGGGTCAGAATGTTAAATCTTTGTTTAACCTTTTAAGGGACTACTAGACTGTTTTTTAAAAATGGTTGAAGTTTTGTTGTGGGTGTTTCTTTTTGTTTTTGGGCCACACCTGAAGGTGATTAGGGGCTACTCATGACTCTGCTCAGGGGTCATTCCTGTCAGTGCTCGAGACACCCTATACAGAGCCGAGGCCCAAACCAGGGCTGGTCACAAGCAAGAAAAGTGTCTAATCTCGCCTCTCTGACTCCTATCAATGTGGGTTCCCTTTGCAGCCAACTTCCTCTATGTCTTGTCACCTGAAAAATGACAGGGCAGATTTTTACTTTGTTGGTCTAAGCCCACATTTACTCTATTTCAAGATAAATCCACATAATCAGGCTACTTGTAGAGTCAGTGAAGTTATTAACAACGGGCCAGAGGGATAGTACAGTTTGCCTTGCACATAGTCAGCCTGTGTTTGATCCAGGCACTCCATATGGTCCCCTGAGCCTGCCAGGAGTGATCACTAAGTGCAGAGCCAAGTGTAAGCCCTGAGCATTGCCAAGTGTAGCGGAAAAACAAAGAAAGAAAAAAAGAAAAAGAAACAAAACTATTAAGAGTGAACCATGGTTGCAACTACCTTCAATTGTGTTGAACACACGTGAACAGTGCTGAATGAATGAGTAGTGCTGACACCAGTTATTATTATTATCCCAGATACTCTGCTATCTGATGGTGTGGCTGAGACTTTGCTATTTGTCCACCCCTATTTCCTCTTCTGTGGCCCACAGGAAGATGACATTGCACGTACTTTCTCAGCTAGGTGATTAAAACTTGGAGTATGAGGAATAAGCCACTTCCAGGCCTATCTTGAACACTTATCTCCCCTCCAAAGTTCCCTGGAGGCAACGTGTTCAGGATAATGAAGCTACACAGGGAGCTGAGCTGATGAACCTCCCAAGGGCTGAAGGGAAGCAGGAACAGAAAAGTGCTGTCAATGGAATCCTATGTAGCCACCAGAAAAAAATGTCATGAAATGTGCTTATAAATGGACAGACATGGAGAGTATCATGCTGAGTGAAATGAGTCAGAGGAAGAGGGACAGACATAAAGTGACTGCACTCATTTGTGGGATATAAAAAGACATAGTATAAAACTAATACCCAAGGACAGTAGAAACAAGGGCCAGGAGGACTGGTCCACTGTTGGAAGCTTGCCATAAGTGGTGGATAGAGAAGGGACCACTAGAACAATGGTAGTTGAAAATGATCACGCTGAACAAGAACTGAGTGCTGAAAGCAGGTAAAGTGACAAACATGATTAACCTTTCAGTATCTATAGCGCAAACCATAACGCCAAAAGGAAAGAGGAAAGAGAGGAAGAGAGAAAGACAAGAAAAGTGCTTGGCATAGAGGCAGACTGGGGGGAAGGGGATAGGCCAGGAGGGGAGCTGGAGACACTGGTAGTGGGGATAGGTACACTGGTGAAGGGACGGGTGTTGGAACATTGTATGACTGAAACCCAACCATGGACAACTCTGTGCCTGTGCATCTCATGGTGATTCAATAAAAAAAATTTTTTTAAAAAGTGCTATTTTCTGTCTCTGAGACCTGGGGGGCTGGTTACTACATCACAGCCTGCTCTGTGGGGATTAACTCTCTTAACACGAAAGAGCAAGAATCGTGTAGTGCCCATTTTGACGTATGGCGTCAGATTGCCACAGCAGTACTGATCCACCAGAGCCAGCAGGAGCCTGTTTTGTCACACAGTGGAAACTTCACAGATTTACTGCCATACCAGATCCCTGTCTTGATTTTTTTAAATTGTTTTTTGGGCCACACCTGGCAATGCTTAGGGGTCACTCCTGGCTCTGCATTCAGGAATTACACCTGGTGGGGGCTCAGGGACCATATGGGATGCTGGGGATCAAATCTGGGCCAGCCATGTGCAGGGCACACGTCCTACCTGCTGTATTAGTGCTCCCCCTCCCGCCCCCCTCCCTGTCCCATCTGTCTTGAGACAAAGACCTATTGACACACTGGCTCAATGAACTGGTTTTTCTTTCTTTGCTTGCCTTGAATAAAAAGCAAAGAATGGAAACAGACCATGCAGGGGAGTATTTCCTTCAGGACTTTTAAATAGCAGAGCCAACAGGAACGTCTCCAGCCCACCACATTAGAGCACAGGTGTGGAAACTAATTTGGACCTAACTCCAGACGGCCATTAAAATTGTGTCCAAACCTATGTTTCTGGATTACCATTTGTCAGCCTTTGCAGCCAATAAATACCTGAATCTGAATGATCTCATTTTTTGGTTTTAGGGCCACACCCAGGTATGGTCTGACTTCCAGACTGTCGCTCAGGGATTATTCCCCTGGTGCTTGACACCAGGTACTGCTGAGGGTCTCCTCCAGGCTTCCTCCTGCACGTCCCCCGGACCTAGGCGCCATCTCCCCAGCTCAGAGTCACCCTGCTCCTAATTGACCACATGCTTCCTCTCCCTGCTGACTGCTCCATACTTCAGGCTGTGCCTTTTTCCCATCTTGGTGATAGATAGACTCCCTGTCTCCGGCCTACTCGTGGGTACTTTCTTCATTGCCACCTAAGATGCAGTTCTGGGTATGATTTCTAAGTTTCCTATAGGATTAAGATTGGGACCTAAACTTGTTGCAAAGCACAGAAGACTCAGCCTAATTTAGTTCCTGCATTTCCAACCATTCCCCATGTAAACCCCAAAATCAACTTGCAACTCTCTGTATGAGATCATATTCTTTGTTGCTTCTATGGATTTGCAAATGAGTATTCTCTCGGCATGAATGCCTTACCCTATTTCCATAGAATTCCTGCTCTGCCTTTAAAATCCACTTCAAGCATTCTTCATCATGTGACACTTGGGCTGGAGTAATAGTACAATGGCTAGGATGCTTGCTTTCCATGAGGCTGACCCGGGTTCAATCCCTAGCATGGTTCCCAAGTACCACCAGGAGTAATTCCTCAATGCAGAGTAACCCTTGAGCATCGCCAACTGTGGCCACAAAACAAAAAATAAAACAAATCACTTGGCATTTTCTCTGACATCCCCTCCCGCCAGGCAGAATTGATCACCTCCTCCCCAGGAAGTGTGAACACACCCATTAGTAATGCACAACACTGCCCAGATTTGTTGAGATGGCATCTCGCGTCTTCATGGCAGGCCCTGAACTACTAGTGGGCTGTGGCTGCTGGCAGAGCAATAATGCTCTTGTGTTTGGTTAAAGGCCAGGAGCCAATCAGGCTGTCAATATGATGGATGGGGCAGACTTTAATCCCCAGCCAAAGTCTCTGGAATATGACCACAGCAACAAAAAGGGAAGAACTGAATTCATCACAAGAAATTCAATCTATACATGTTTAATTTTTATTACAAAGTATGATGGGCAGAAAATACGGTACTTCTTATACAGGAGGCTGAAACAGAATGAAAGGGTGCAAAATTAGGTTAAATATATTCAGGAAGTGAGAAACAAAGTCATCAATCTAACAGGCCACTTTCGGATGCCTTTCAAGTTGTTGTCAATGGACAGCGACCGCCGTGGTCTCACTGCATGGCGGAAATGTCTGATGACAAGCCCGGTGTCCTAGCAATACTGTGAACATCATCTTTGAAAAGCAAAAATGATTACAGTACAGTTCTGCAAGGGGCCACTGCCTCTCCACCTGACCACGGGATGCCAAAAAACCTATAGTATAGAAACATTTAAATATGTAACAGGAAAGAAAGATCAGACGCGCTATGCTAAAGAAGACAGAGTGACTGGCTAGAGCTTACCATATCAGAGGACAAGAAATCTCCGTTTTCTACTTAGAGGTTTGTACAATCATGCTACAAATTCACACTCAAGGTAGAGGAGAGGGATGAAAAGTCACTGACAAGGGGTCATAAAATACACAGGAACCAAAGCAGAATGATCCATACTGACTAAAGTCAAAGCTTTAGTGCAACAAGTTTCATAACACACTGTGTACCATATGCCACGATCAACCCAAGGTGAAAACATTCCTTTAAAATAGTAGCTATCACAAGTTCATGTCACTGGGTTGTCCCCAAGGTGGTGCTCATCAGTTTTCCAGCTGTTACACAGACTGCCACCATCTTTCTTCTGAGTTTGTACTTGCATTAGCTTATTCGTTTCTGGTTTGTTACACCAGTCCAAGCCTCTTGGGGAAGGCACCTGCATGTTTCCATGTTTGAAAAATAACATCCAGAAAGTAGCCTGAGCGCACCTGGTCCATCCTGTGTGGTTATTTGTTTCACGTGGACCGTTAGCAGCAATGACAACTGTGGGGGTGGCAGGGACGGGTGGGGGGCTGTGGAGGGGCAGGCTCTGCAACTGGAGACTCAGTAGGTGAGAGAAGAGACTCCTGACTCCGCTCAGTTCCTCCAAGGAAAAAATCCCAATCCTAGTGCAAGTCTCACTCTCCTTCCTCCTGCTGAAGCACAGGGAGGAGTATGCCCAGAGGATTCTCCTTCCGGGGTCTCTCATTTGGGCCAAGAGGTCCCACGAGGACGGGGAAGGTGGAGGGGCTGGCTGGTCTGTGTTTGGTAAAACCCTGCATCTCCTACAGGTCTACACAGACCAGGAAGTCGAGGTCAGGTGTAGCTGGGAGAAAGTTCTGCGGTGGAGAGGGATTTCGTAGGGACAAGAAGAGAAAAGATGAGGAAGCTGGGGCAAGAGTTCCCTGGGAGAGCGTGGTTTCCTGCATGTAATGTCGGGCTCAATCCCCAGTCCACGTGACTGCTTATAACTCTGTTTTCTGCTGTTAAACCTGCAGCCCGAGCGAACCATGATCTGAACCGGCCTCAGGCCTTCTGTCACCTCTGCAAACTGTCACTTTCTCCCCCAATCACTGCCTATGACTACAGGGCAGTGGGGAGCGGCTCCCTCGGCCCTGACTGTCCCCCTCTTCCCTCCATGAGGGCCCAGCAAGGCTGGTCGAGACTGAGGCCAGGCAAGTCCATCCCCACCACACGAGACTGTCTCCCAAACACTGCCCACCTCAGCCTCAGGTCCTCAATCTCCTCCTTTCGTCTAAGGAAACTGGACCACTCACGTCCTAACTCTCCTTTCAGCCACAAGTATCTCTAAAGCCTCATAGGATGCTCAATTTCTTGGGGGTGGGGGGGTGGGTTGGGGGGGTGGGAATTCTTCTCTAGTTTTAATCTTTTAACCAGCTCAGCAATTACTTTCCCTCTGCAAGTCCTAACCTCGCAGCTCAGGTCCTCCCTGGAAGGGCAGTGTCCACTCTTCCAGGTGTGAGTACTGTGGCCCTGGAGGGATTCTGTGTCCATTCACAGCTCTCTGGTTCAGAGGTGACGGAGGCTGAACATGAGGGCCACCGGCTATTCTTCCTCAGGGAAAGCTGATCCAGGGTCTTCTCTTGTTCTCTCTCTCTCTCTCTCTCTCTCTCTCTCTCTCTCTCTCTCTCTCTCTGTCTCTCTCTCTCTGTCTCTCTCTCTCTCTCTCTCTCTCCTCTCTCTAAGAATGCAAGTAAGTTAAGTCTGCCCTTGCTCATTAAATGACAGCAAATATCTACTGCTTGGTACGTGGATGGCTGTGGGGCTCTCTGAGGTGCTCACAGGTGGCCAGACCACAGGCCAGACCACCTTCAGAGGACCCACGGGAGGAGGCTGCCAGCCCGCAGAGCAGCGGGAAGCGAGCATTGTTGGTCCAGAGTCAGCAGAAACTTTACCTAGGTACAGTCAATTACTACTGACTCTTCTCCAGACTACTTTAGAGTTCCAGCTGACAAGCTGCTTCACTATTCAGAGTGATGAAAGCACAGACAAGGGCGAGAATCTGAACTCAAAACTCAGCGGGAGATGCTCTGGCTCGTCTGACTTTCGCCTCGTCCATGGGAAGGAATGGTTGGGCTCCTGGACAGAGCCAGCGGCCATGGATGGGACCCACCTTCAGAGGACCCTGAAATGTCACACGCAACTGAAAGCAGAGCAGAATCTGGACCTCCAAATGACACCACGCAAATCTGGAGGTGGGGAGCGGGAGTGGGAGAGTTGGCTTCCAGCTGATGGCCAAGGAGTCCAGAACAGTACGAGGCAGCTGGGGAAACACCGCAGCTGACAAAGAGCCTTTCCCTCAGGAGTAGCCGCTGGGAAGTAAAGCAGAGCAAGAACTTTGGGGACAGGGTTCTATCTGAAAAGGAAGATTGAGGCCCAAGTTCAAGGGCCCAGAGGGGGGAAAAAAAAAAACAAGTTCTGAAGAGCAAGGCAAGCCTCAGTGGACAGGGCCACCAACCAGCCTGCAGCCGTGCTGAGGCTGTAGGGATCTTCCTGCACGATGAACCAGGCATACCTGGCAAACCAGAGTACCACTCTCCAAACGTTGGGCATGTCCCACCCTCACCTAAGGACTCACCCAATAACAGAGTCACACACAAGGTCCTTCACAGAACTCACCAGGTAACGGAAACACAACACGCAGCCGTCAAGTCCAATACTGCTCAACCCCAAAGCTGGGGCACGGTGGGTGGCAGGGCAGGCGGAGGCTGGGGGCAGCAATCTTACTAGCTGACTCCAAGTCTCTGACTCTAGGTCTCTAAGTTACTTGTGGTCCCTCCTTTACAAGCCTCCCACACCTCTGTACATGTGGTGTCTGGACTCGAACCCAGAACCTGACATGTACAGAACACTCTACTGCTGGCTGAGCTACATCCCCAGCTGTCTCCCATGCTCTGAAGATCATGTTTCGGATCAGACATACCGACAGTGCTTCTCAGACAGGATGCCCACACCTCAGAGCACTCCCTCCAGAGGACCGGTCACAGTAAAGGAAACCGGGAGAAATACCGAAATCCAGCTGATACTTCTTGCCCATCATTTAAAACATGAAATGGGACGGGTTGGGCATACTTGTTAGGGTGAAACACACTGAAGCTATGTACTGAGCTATGCTGAACTAAATTCAGCCTTCCTGAAACGGTTCCCCTCAGGCGGGCACATCCCCACTCAGTCTCAAAGGGGCGGGACTGAGGTATTTCTGGGAGCAACAGACGGAGTCACTCTTGTCTGTTTGAGAGCCCAGCAGGCCTTTGAGAAGAGCCAGGATGAGGAAAGGGGGGAAGGATGGGCCGACTCCTGAGCACCCAGGCAGCTTGGGACTCCTGGTGGGGGAGGTTCTGCTCAGGCAGTGATTCAAGCAGGCAAAGTGCTCCGGGGATTGAGGGCCTGGTGCCAGCTTCTGGCCCCCGAGAGATGAGGGGAGGGAGGAACTGCCAGGGAAGACGAAACCAAGGAAGAAACCAGCAGGAGTAAAGTTCTTTTCATTAAAAAATTAGCCTGATAGATAAAAAATATACAAAGTCGAAATTTGTTAAAGACACTAATAATAGGAGAAAAAGACAACTGCAAATTAGCATTTGTTCCCACTTAAGTGCTCACAGGGACAGGGAGAGGAAGGAGGGCTGCCTCAGGCAGCAGAGGGACGGGGGGTACAAATACCGCCAGTGCTTGTGATGCTCAGGAACACAACAGCTGACAAACAAATATACAGAAACTGTTAATTGAGGGCCCGAGAGAGAAGAGGAAAAGCGAGAAAAAAAAAAAAACCAAAAACAATCTTAAACCTCAGCCCTGGGCTGAGCAGCGCCACACAGCCCAGAGCCTGGCACAGGACTGGCTGGGAGCTTCGACAGCAGCTTCTGGTGACAGCGGGTGCAGAGCAATGAGAGACATACTGGCCACCGGAAACACGTTTCTTCTTACTTGGGGTGTGGGGCAGGGGCAGAAGACACACAAGCCCCTGCCTCACGGGCACGGCGCCACCAGCACTACACTCGGAGAATCTCCAGGCAGTTGTTGTAGCAGATGGCGATCCAGTCGGGCTGGGTGGACGCCCACTGCACATTGTTGATCTCGCCTTCGGCCGTGTAAGCCAGGATCGGGTCCTCGATGGCCCGAGGCATTTGCTGGATGTCCCAGATGAGCGCCTGATGGTCATCCGCTAGGGAGAGAAAACCAGCAAGCAGGATCACAACTCAGGCTATGGGAGATGGTTCCCAGCCTTGGGGTTGGCAGGTGGGGGAGGTGGCGATGACACAGACAACGCTCATCTAACGGAGGAGGAAGCAGATTCTGAACTGTTGGGACGCTGGCCCCAAACCGCAGGGCTATGCAGCTAGAGAGTGGCAGAGGTGGGGCTCAGAGAGGGTCTCTGCCTATGTCCTCGGCCTCCAGTCAGAGAGCGAGGGCAGGAGACAAAGAGGCATTAGGAAAAGACACAGAGTCAGACAGATCCCAACTAACTTGTCATTTTTTAGCCACCTCAGTACTTGAATGGTTAAAGATTCCTCTCTGGGGCTGAAGCGATACAGCACAGTGGGTAGGGCTTTTGCCTTGCACGTGGCTGACCCGTGTTCAATTTCCAGTATCCCATAGGGTTCCCTGAGCATCACCAGGAGTAACTCCTGAGTGCAGAGCCAGGAGTAACCCCTGTGCATTGCCCGGTGTGAACCAAAAAGGGAAGAAAAAAAAATTCTTCTCTGATGATTCACTTTAATGGGATGTCCTCCCCCTCCTTTTTTGGGGGTGTGGGGGTGAGGGCACACCTGGCAATGCTCAGGGGTTACTCCTCCTCTGCATGGAGGAGCATGGGGCACCATATGGGATGCCAGGGACCAAAACCAGGACTGTCTGAATGCAAGGCAAGTGCTGTACCTGCTGTACTATCTTTCCAGCCAGGGTGTTCCCCTTTTTACGGATACTATACTTCAATGAATATAATGCTATACAAGTAATAAGAAAAAGTTTTTTGTAAAGGCCATGGGAAAAATCAAAAAAAAAGAAGGAAATCACCTTAACAATATATATGCAGCATGAAAAATTACTGGAAGAAAATGTAACAAAATGAAGTGGCAAGGGTAAGAGCGATGGTTCACTTTCCTCATTTCCAAGAGTTCTAGAAGATGCTCATATGTCATATACTCTTACAATCAAAGTAACACGTTCTTAATTTAAGAGAAGGTAGAAAAGACAGTGACCTTCACTTGCATGGTGGCCCCACTGCCACCAGCCTGTCTAGCTGTGACAGTCCAGTTCTGTGCAACAAGAGACCCAAGCTTCACCATGGACCCTACCAGCCTGGGCTAACATGGACCCCTGAGGCTGGGCGACTGGGTAGGTCGAAATGCCCTTCTGGGGACAGCTGTGTCGGGAGGTCAAGGGAGTTTTCAACATTCGGCGTCACTAAAGCACTAAGTTCCTCTCCTCAGTGCCCCACTGAGCCTGACCTCCTTCTGGGAAACCAGTGGGCGATAACAATGTCAGGCCACAACTTAGGCTTCAGAAGCATTAGGAGACAAGCTCCCAACTGCTCCTACTGAGACAAACTGGTATGACCAGGGTCCAAACCAGGAAAAACTTCACGCCTTAAAATGAATGCTAACACGGCAGAAAACCATTGATCTGCACAGCCCTTTGGCTCCATAAAGAACAAGGAAAGAGGATGCACTGAAGCAAAGAGCAGCACCCACGGAAACCCAAGACCTGGAACAAAGAAGCCACAGCAGCGAGGGGGTGGGGGAGGGGCGTGGAGGGGTATGGACATGTGAAGCAAAAGGGGGTTGGGACCTGGTGGGTGGGTGCATGTCCCCAGAGTCAGGAAGGGGAGTCACCGACTGCTGTCAGAGGGTGAATAACACGGCTGTCCCCGTCCTGTGCCTCCACACCACGACTCCTTGTGAAGAGATGTGTTATTTCTGGAGCGAGAGCACAGTCAGCCAGCCTGTTCTTTCACTTGGGGGAAAGTGTCCCCATGTTCAGAGGGCCTGGAGGTCACTCTCAGTGACCCTCAGCCAACAGGGTTGCAGAGCTCTGTGCTTGGGGATGGTGAGAGGGGGAATGATCTACAAATGATCTACAAACCATTAGTCACCAAGGAGGGAAGTCATCTGGGGCCCTACCAAAAAACTCACTCAAGACTCCGGGCACAGAAGCTGGGAAGGCCCAAGGACACGGCAGCCCCAAAGAGTCTGTCACAGTCAAGACACTGCCCCTCAGGGCCAGAGAGATCACACAGCAGGTAGGGCAGTTCGATCCCCAGCACCCCATATGGATCCCGAGCACTGCCAGGACTGATTCCTGAGTGCAAAGCCAGCAACACCTGGTGTGGTCCAAAAACAAAAGGAAAAGAAAAAAGACACGCCCCTCTGCTCCAGATTCTCTGGGCCCGACTGATTCCAGGGACGGCCAGCAAGAGTCACCAGCCCATGCCCATGATGTGGGAGATATGTGGGAGGCCTAAGGTCAATGAGGGTCTGAGCACCAAGAAACACAGACTGCTTGGGTTTTTCAAGTATAAGGAGGGTTCCTCTGTGGAAACATCCTTGGAAAGTAGCAGGGATCACAACCTGAGGGACGCAAGAAGATGCTTCTCCACCCCCTTTCACCCCGTGTGTTCTCCTCCCCCCAGTTACCTGCAGTACAGATGTGGCAGGACGAGTGCGGGGCCCAAGCAATGCCATTGACACAGGCCCGGTGGTTGTTTAACCGAGCAACAGGCGTGCAGGGAACTCGGACATCCAAAATCACTACCTGCAGAAACAACAAGTAACAGGCTCACGACTTCAGGATGGCAGATCAGGGAAAAGAATGAAATGAAAAAAAGACACCACACGGGGGAAAGGTATAAGCATCATGTGTTCCCTTGTGCTTTAAGACTATGGGGGGGGAGGGGGACTCTGTCCCCAGTGCACCTAGCGGAGTGGTGAAAGTAAGTAAGACTCAGTGGCTTATAGTTCGTGGCTGAAACCTGTTCTAACTGCGGCCCCCTCCCAACCTTGTTTCCTTCCGGTGGCCTCTCATCCTACCAACCTCCCTCCTCCTTACAATTTTCCCTTGTGGCCCCCTCAGTTGAAAGTGCTCTTAAACAGCACAGGGCTTCTCATCCACAGAAAGGGCACAAGTGGGTATCATCAGTTTATTGAACCCACAAGGCCCACAGGGGCAGGTACTAAGAACTGTGGGCACGCTGATCTGGACAGAACACAGGCACCCCCTCTGCGCCCAGCCCCACAGACCAAGCAGAAGTCTGGTGTGCTGAGGACACCCTACCAAAGGCCATCACTCACCACCTCCAGCTACCACGCACCAATCCTGTCACCACTGCCTCGTCTGCTGAGGCGGGAAGCACCATCCGAACCAGAGGGGCAGCGCTGCTCCCGACTCGGGCTGGCGGGGTCTTTAGACAGAGCTCCCGGCTCCAACCTCGTCTAGTTCTAACACAGGCTCCTGTTCCAGTGCGGGCTTTCTAGCCTGGCGCAGAGGGAGCGGGGGAAGGGGGGGGAGGGACACTCCTTCTGGTAGGGGCTCCTGCAGGGTGTGGTGCACTCGGTGTGTAGTACACCCTCCCCTAACCCCCTCCCTGACTTTCCCAGAGATCCGCTCAGGAGAAAACCCACAGCAAAGCACTGGCCTGTGCGGGGCGCTCACCTCCATTCCGTCCATGGCCATGGTGGCCAGGTAGTTGGGGTCCTGTTTGTTCCAGCAGAGGCGAAGCAGAGGGTGATGCTGGGGGTCTTCATAGATGATGGTGCTGTGCTCCAAATGGCGGAGGTCAAACATCCGCACCGAGCCATCAGCGCCCACCGAGGCGAACATGTCCCTGCCTCCCCCGGCCCGGCTAAACGCAATATCATAGACCTGGTGGTGAAGAAAAGGCCTGTGTCAGACCTGCCAGCTCCTTTCCCTGCAGCAGGGATTCTGCCATCCTCATTCCTCTAAGGCCCTGCCAGGGCCCCAGGAGAGCCACACTGAAGCCTGGGGTCTGCAAAGATCATTTCTCTTGAGAAAATGGCTGAGCTTCCCACGCTCTTCCCACGCTCCTTCCCCAGTCTCTCCCTCCAATGGTCATGCCAACATGGGCACAGCCCTGCCGCCCAGGGCCTGGGACCCAGCAAGTCTCCCCTGGACCCGCATGGGCTCCTGGTGGCTTCCACAGGCATGTGGATCATAGGCAGCTCCCCAACCATGGGCATGGTCATCAGTGTGGGCGGGAACCGGCCCTCGTGTGGACATCTGAGAACAGACAAATTGGTTCTGCCGGGCTACCAGGTAAGAGATTCAGTAGCCAGAAAACAAAAAGTGCTGAGTCACAGGAGGAGCACTTAGGCTTAGGTAACAAGGCTGTGTTCCTTTCCCAGTCAGTGTGTACCCACAACTGACTCAATTGAGGTTTGATTTCCTCTTTTTCTTCTTCTTCTTCTTCTTCTTTTTTTTTTGCCACACCCAACATTGCTCAGGGCTGAATCCTGGCTCTGCACTCAGGGATCACTCGTGTGTGCTCAGGGAACTGTATGAGATCGACCCCAGGTCAGCTATGCGTAAGGCAAATGCCCTACTCGCTGTACTCTTACTCTGGCCCCCAGATTTTATTTCTTGTTGCAACACCATACATCACTAAGGTCTATGCAAAAACAGAGGCAGAAGACAATGGAAAGCTTCAGAGAAAGAAAAAGATGGGAGTCCAAGTCATTTCCAGACAAACAGAAAGCGAAAAATAAAAATGAGAAACAAATGAAAATAAAATGCATCTTCTGGGGTAATAATGAACAGCTGCTTTCTGGGGCCAAGGGAGAGAATCTCTCCTGAATACTGGCCTCTGGCGTGCTCGCAGCTCTGCCCAGTGAGGACTAACTGCCATGAGCAGCTACTTCCATTTCACCTCATAATTTCCTCTAATTATGAGAAAATTATGCTTCCCGTTCTACAACAGAAGTCAGGAGTGGTTCATGCAGGTCAAGGTCACGCTAGGATTGAGCTTGTCAGGAGCCCCGCAGGTGGGCTGGCGTCATCCCTCCCAGGACCAGACATGGGGGAAGAAGGCACTTGGCGTGGAAAGAAAACCACTGGAAGCTCCAACTCCCTGATTCACAGAATCTCCCCCTAATGCCCCCTGGCAACTCCAAAACCAGGAAGAGGGGACGGAGAGGATCTGGGGTGCTGGAGGTACAGGGGGTACCCTGTCCTCAGCAGCCATCCTTGGGTTCTTCTCAAAGCCAGTCTGCTGTTAAGGTCTACTCCTGGCCCGCCACTACACCATGTGAGAACTAATTCTGATAGGCCGTGCTGAGGAGGGTCCCAGGATCTGCTGCTTCGGGCAGGCTCAAGGAGGCCCAGCTGGGAAACTGGGTGGCCGGAGGCAGCGTGGGTGTATAGGGGGGGTGTCTCAGGCCTTTTCTTCCCTCTTTGTTCCCAGCAGGACTGCTGTGTCTCAGCTTCCCACTCTATGGACAACCTCAAGATTCCGAGCTAAGGCCAAGGAGCCCTATTCATGGTGAACGGGGGAAGCCAGCAGCCCTGCAGGGCGGCGGCTGGGGATGGATGCCCAGTATCCACAGACACACACAGCAACACCTTGCTGGGACTACTAAAAGCTCCCCTGAACTTTTCCAATAAATACACCAGGAACGTCAACATTAAAAAGAAAACAAAATTCCAAATAGTCTCAAATGAACGTAGTAGAATTCCTAAAAACAAGGTAGAGAAAAACTGATGAATTAGGCTTGTCTGCAGGAAAAGTTTCCTCTTCCTACAGTCCCTGCACTCTCTCCCCTTCAAAAGCAAGTTCATTTCAAGGTGTTACTCTAAGATGATTTTTCAATCCCATCAGGTTCAAGTATGCCTGTATGTCATTAGTGAAAATAGCCATCTGGGGTGGGAGCTCCGAAGGGAGAGAACATGTCCAGTGCGTGTGAGGTCCTGAGTTCAGTCCCAAAGCTGCACAGCCCATGGCCTCTGAGCAGGCAAAAACAATCCAAAGAAAATAATCCAATCAAACAAACAGCAATCCCAGGACTGGTGGTAGAGCACATATTTTGCAAGGAGGACGACCCAGATTCGATCCCCACCACCCTCACCCCAAATAAATAATCATAGTCATCCCCGGCAAGAAAAGACAAATGAGAGATAGTTGGATAAACAGTGCACATTAGGGGCGGAGAGAGAGAACAGTGGTTAGGACTCTTGTCTTGCACACAGACAACCTGGGTTCAATCCCCAGCATCACAAATGGTCCCCCAATCCCCATCAGGAGTGATCTCTGAGCACAGAGCCAGGAATAAGCCCTGAGCATCACTGGGTGTGACCTCCCAACAAAACAAAAATGAAAATAATAACAATAAATTGTGTATATCAGCCCGCAATTTCTTAAAAGACTTCATTTACAGCAGTGTTTTTCTCTCTTGAAATCTCACTACTTTCTCTCTAGCAAGAAGACATCGGCATTATGATTTTCCCATAATCTGCAAAACCCAGAGAAACCATTTTGACCTCTCACCATGAAGGGCAGAGAAAGCATCAAGGACAAGAGAAAGAACAGCATCTTTACCTCTTTGTCATGGGCAATCAACTGGGTTTTCACGTGACCAGACACAAGATTCACTCGTCCCAACACCTGCCCCGTCTCCAGCCCCCAGATGGTACAAGTCGTATCGATGCTGGAGGTGCCTGGAAACAAGCAGAACAGGTCAGTGGCCGGAAGGGCCAGCAGCACACTCGCCTCACACTGGGGCCCACGCATCTGCCCAGCCAGGACAGGACGTGCCCCTCCCTAGGCCAGGAGGCATGAGGAGCTGAAGGAGACCCAGGACCGCTGCTCTGACCGCGCGTGGGAAAACACAGCTCCCGAGGGACAGGCACCCGCATTCCCCAGACAGCCTCTTTCCCACCCCGCCTGAATCGAGGGTGGTCCTATTTGGAGGGGCTGGGGATCAAACCAGGGCCTCTCACATGCAAGGCGTGTGCTCTACTGCTGAGCTACCTCCCCAGCCCCACTTTCCTTTCCCCATGGGAACAGGGCCTCCTGCACCCCCATACCTAGGAGATAAGGATCCACCTCATTCCAGTCAAAGGATGTCAGGGGGGCACAGAAATCCGAGTTCTTATTATTGTTTAGCAGACATTCCAGCCTGGTCTCTGTCTCACCAACCTGAAAGAACAATCACTTGGAAATATCAGTCAATCCCCCACTTCTCAAAAAAAATCTTGTGTAGAAATATCTCAGTAAACAGAAGATGGGTGGGGGGTAGGGGGGTAGAGTGGGGAACATTTTCTCCTACAGAGAACAAAAATCCAGAGGAACTCTCTAGATGCCGCTTCTTCCCAAATGTCCTCTTTGGTTTGGTCCTTCCTTCCTTCCTTCCTTCCTTCTTCCTTCCTTCCTTCCTTCCTTCCTTCCTTCCTTCCTTCCTTCCTTCCTTCCTCCCTCCCTCCCTCCCCCCCCTCCCTTCCTTCCTTCCTCCCTCCCTCCCTTCCTTCCTTCCTCCCTCCCTCCCTCCTTCCTTCCTTTCTTTGGCACGGGGTTGGGGGTACACCCTGAGATGCTCAGGGCTTACTCCTGGCTCTGCACTCAGGAATCACTCCTGGCAGTGCTCAGGGAACCATGTGGGATAGTGAAGATCGAATCCAAGTCGGCTGTGTGTGAGGCAAACGCCCTCCCCACTGTATTATCTCTCCAAGTCCCCCCACCCCCAGTCTTTCTGAGGATTTTCTCACCATGACCCTCTCTGAATCTCAGCGCCCTGCTCAGCAGACCATGACATATCAGGTCAAAGAGAAGAGGCCGCTGGTACTGGTCTCAGCTGGTGGCCTAGAATCCACTGCTCTGCATTTTGTTTGCTCAAAAGCATCTTAGCTTCGGGCTGGAGCAACAGGACAGCGCAGGCAGGCTGTTTGCTGGCAAGTAGCCAACTGGGGTTCAATCCTCGGCACCCCATAGGCTCCCCTTAAGCCTGCCAGGAGCTAACCCCCCAGAGCCAGGAGGAAATCCTGAACACTGCTGGGTATGACCCCCCACCCCCCCAAACAAAAAAACAAAAAGGAATCTTGGCTGTAAACTGACCTCGTTGCCTGGAAAACCTGCTGAGCTCTGGGCCAGGTCACTCCAGAGCTATCCCGGCCACTCTCCAGACAGGTGTCTCCCCGGATGGGTGTCTGGGACTCCCAGTGACAGGGACACTGGGACAGCCCGGGGCCCTGGCTGGCCCCAACTTACCCTCCACACCCGAAGATAGTCACCACTGGTGGCCAGCAGGTCTGGATAGACGCCCTTAGTGTCAGGGATCCACATGAGCTTCGTGGTTGGGTACGGGTGGTCAAAGGTGTTTCGGCAGATAAACTCCGAGCTCTCTTCATCGAGACCAACAAGCTGGACCTGCACAACAACAGAATGGAGCCACTGAAACATTTGTTTTCTGGAGCAGTAGCAAATACTTCCACTCCCTGGTCAGAGATAGAAGTTTGTCTTTTTTTCAAGTTTAATGTCTGGGCAACACCGGGTGATGCTCAGGAGACCTGGCAGGGCCAGGGATCACACGCACACGCTCCAGTCCTGTGAGCCCTCAGAATCAGAGATGGCAGAGTTCACAGCTGCCCTTGGGGCAGTCAAGAAACCCCAAAGGCAAATGGGCTGAGTTACATTACAGGAGTGCAAGGCTGCAAAGAGACAACATTCGAAACAGGCTGTCTAAAGCCCGGTCCCTGTACCCTGGATCATCTGCTAAAAGAGGGTCCTGCTCCCCCTGACTCGCTGGCCAGCCACCCATCTCCAGCAGTGTGTACAGTTACCCTGCTAGTCACCTGGGGGCTATCAGAGCTTGGCAGGGAGTGTCACAGCCCTGCAGATCCCAACTCAAAGAAGAACCGCCTTATCTGAAAAGATGCCACTTTGTGTCACTCATGCCACTTTGTGTCACTCAGTATGTCCGTAATGTCTCCATCTACTGAGGAATAACGTGGAAACACTATAACTTACTTATCTATCAGTCAAGTGTTTGGAATTTTTAGCTTGAGACATCCTAAATACTTTTACTACGAACATTTATTTATATACTGGGCCTGCTTCCTTTCTTTTTCATTTTGGTTTTTGGGCCACATCCAATGGTAGCCAGGGCTTATTCCTGGCTGTGCTCAGGGATCACTCCTGGCAGGGCATGGGGAACCATATATATGCCACATGCAAGGCAAGCGCCCTATCTCTTCAGCCCCTCTTATATATACTTTTCCATGCTTAAACAATTTATGCACAACTGTAAGGCTTTCTCTCAAATTTAAGAAAAATGGGATACTATCTCCAATGGCTATGAAAACCTCTTTAAAATTTTGGGCTTGAGCTATAAATAGCACAGGAAGTAGTGCAATTGACTTGTATGTGACCAACCCAGGTTCAATCTCTGGCATCCCATATGGTTCCCAAAGACTGTCAGGAGTAATTCATGAGTGCAGAGCCAGAAGTAACCCCTGAGCATTGTGAGATATGGTGCCCCCAAATACCAAAATAAATAAATAAAAATAAAATTTCAACAAAATAATTCTCAGGTCAATTGTAAACCCACCCACACCCCTCAGAGAATAAATGCAGCTCTTGACAGTAAATGACTGACGACTGCTCTAAAGGAATGCACCATTTACATCCTGTTTGAAACCTTTGACACCCTTTGTACTTATGTGCTTATGTCCTGGTGTCCTTATTTTGAGGGCCAAAATCTTAAAAGTGGGATTTCTGTCCAGAAGATATGTTCATTCAATTTTTTAGTAGATACTCCTGGTGGGCTGTAGCAAATCATGCTCCAGGACATAAGGTATTCATTTCCCATACTGACAACAATACCAGAAGCAAAGATTTAATTTGTTTTTGATTTTTTTGTGTGGGTGTGTGGGGGGTGGGGTGGGGTGGTCGGGTCTCACCCATACGTGCTTTGGGCTTATTTCTCACTTTGCTCTCAGGGGTCACTCCCAATAGGACTCGGGGGACAATATGGGGTGCCAGGGATCAATCTGGGTCGGTCATCTGCAAGGCAAATGACCCACCTGCTGAACTACCTGGCCTCACAATAACTTAATTTTTCAAATCTTAAAAGGAAAAGAACATTCCACAGTCAAGTCTCACTTCTTCTTCTTCTTTTTTTTTTTTTTTGCTTTTAGGGTTACACCCAGCAATGCACAGGTGTTACTCCTGGCTCAGCACTCAGGAATTACTCCTGGCAGTGCTCGGAGGACCATATGGGATGCCGGGGACCGAACCCGGTGGGCCGCATGCCAGGCAAACGCCCTACCTGCTGTGCTATTGCTCCAGCCCCTCACTTACTTATATTTATTGGTATTGAAGGGGAGCCTGGGGTCACACCCATCAGTGCTCAGAGGGTATTATCTGACTCTGTGCTCAGGAGAACCTGTAGTGGTACTCACGGGACCCTATGTGATGCCAGGATTTGAACACGAGTTGAACTCACTATAGCCACATGCAAGTCAAGTGCTTTACCTCCTGCACTCTCTTTCCAGCCCTCCTGTCCCTTTATTATGTGTGAGGCTGAGAACCCTGTTTAGAGGTCCTTAAGAAGTGGCTATTTATACTTTTCCCCCCTAGGATTCTAAGTAAATTAGTTTCTACTGTCTATTACACTCTGAAAATTATTTCCCTCAGCTTAACATTTGTACATTTGTTTTGTTTTGGGGGCCACACCTGGCAGTGCTCAGAGATCATGTCTCGAAGTGCTTGGGGGGGAACACATGTGGTGCTGGGGATCGAACCTGGGTCAGCAGCGTATAGGGCAAGGATCTTACCCCCGTACTATTTCTCCAGCCCTCACCTGCAGTTTTACTTTGCTCAAGACATATCCTTTCACACACAAGTGTTCAATTTGTGCATATTATAATCTGCCAATCGCTCATTCGACTCTAGATTTAATGACAGTCTTAAAGACAACCTTCTCCTCTGCTCATCCCATACTTGAATTATTGTCTGTAAGGCTACTCCTCGCCTCCCCCCGCCACCTATTGGCCCACCCCCGTTTCTCCATCCCTTTCCCTTTGCTGCTGCACGACCAGGATCACACGTTTGCTTGGCTGAGGTGCTCCGACACTTAGATGTAAGAAGGGTGTGAGTCCTGGTAAGCTTTTGCATGAGCATTGTAGCCACCACTGGTGATCACTGCAACCGGAATGTGCCTGAGTGTCACTAGCACACCTCCGGTATGACATTTGCGGTGCTCACACCATCTGTCTACAGTGTGACTGGACTCGCCTTCGGTTCTAGGGACCATAGGAAGCAAAGCTGCCAGGACCATTCTTGGCACATATGGGGAAACGAACACCTGCAAAGCAGGCATCCAAGTCACTGAGCTACTCCTCTGGGCTCTGAGAGGTTTTTCTTTCTACTTAGATATATGAACGGGAATTGATTTTTCACATGTAATGACAGTGGGTTCTAATTTTTTCTGCCAGCAGGTGAGCCAAGTATGCACACAATTTTATCGATCTCCCCCACCCCCAGTGAATTATGGTTGTAGCTGATCAGATACATTTCCACATATACTCAATCAATTTTGGAATATACTGTGTGGTTCCACCAATCTCTCTGGCTATAACTATATCGATTTCAGTCTATTAATTTTTATCTCATAGGGAATAAATTCCCATTTTTCACTAAAATCTTCCTTCCTACAAATTTTCTCCCTATCAGCACATATGGATCTTTAAGACTGCTCAGGCAGACCACTTTCTGGTTTTGGCTCTGCTTTGCCTTCAGTGCCTCTTGGTGTATTTCACTCGGCATATCTGGGCTTCAGCTTCCTCATCTTCCCAGATGTTGTGATATATGGTGTCTTTTCTAATCAACTGATTTCCTTAATTGGGAAAAATATATTCTTTTTCCTTAAAACATGATCAATTTTGCAAACTGAATTATCATCTTTAAAAGCACATTTTTCCCCATGCCAACCTTCCCCATCCTTAAGCATTTTTTCAAGTATTAACAGAAGCACAATCTCTAAGAGCGACAGCAAGTCCCTGTTATCCAATGAGGTCATACTTACATTTCCTTCCTCTCTTACAGAGGACATGCTCATTCTACTTAGATGTGCAAAAGATTCTTTTTTTTTCCCTTTTCACCCTTAAAAACAGAAACTTTCCTAGAAAATAACTGTGCCAATTGTTGTCTGTCAAACTTTCTTGAGTCATAATTTAAACTTATCTCAAACCTTTGTTTCTAGAAAGTCTTCTTTAACTACATATTTGAGTTTTTGTTTCATTTCTTTAAACTTCATCTTAGGGGATACCAATTCCACCTAAGTTATATTTTATTTATTTTCTGTTTCTACTATATCTAGTTTTTTTTTATCATTTCACTTTTCAAGTCAGATTTCCTTTATTTTCTGCTTCTGCTATATCTAGTTGGTTTTTTATCATTTCACTTTTCAAATCAGTTTCCTTATCTTTCACTGGGGTTTCAGCACTAATTACATTCTTCTTCCAGTGCAGCTTTTAATTCTGTGATAATTTGTTTTCTCATACATATGTATGTGTATATATATATATACACATATATATATGAGTCATAGTTGGCTGTGTGCAAGGCAAATGCCCTACCCTCAGTACTACATTGGCAGCCCTTTTGCTTCCTTTCTTATAGTATCTTTCTATAGCTACTGTGCTGATTTCTAATGAGGCAATGTCTTCCTAAACCAGCTAAGGAGGTTCCTATGAATGTGATGCCAGGGGGCCAAGTTCCAAGTGAGTAAAAACACAAGAAATATTTGCATCCATCTCCCTAGGCAACAGGGGAGAAAAGCTGCCAACTGTGTACAATTCAATCTCTCTTAACTGCCTCATCTAATGTTTCTAGAAAAGATGATGAGACTTTGTGTTTCTGTGAACAGCAAAGTTACCTGGTTACCTAATGTGTCCAATAGGAGGACCCCTTGCTGCTAGCCCATGTGTTCTCTTCCACTGTCCCAAACAGAAGATTGTTAATTTTGCCTGCCAAAGCCCTACTCTGGACTGGAGGGACAGCTCAATGAGTTGGAGGACACGCTTTGAATGCAGAAGGCCTGGGTTTGATCCCCAGAACCACTTATAGTCCCTCAAGCACCACCAGGAGTGACCCTGCACACTGAGCTAGGTGTGGCCCCAAAACATAACAACCTATTCTGGAACTGTGCTCTTCACAACTGAAATCTACAGCCATAGACACCTTTTCTCACCTTCCTGTTAGAGCCACTGAATCTTCACTGTAACACCGCCAAGGAAGCAGGAAGGAAAACGATCTGACTTTAGTGACCTTACTTAGCTCCCTTCATGACTAAAGCTACTTTTCTGTCTTTGCTTCCAATCTTTCCTCTTTTCCTGAACAGAAGTGCTGCTGTTTTATTGCTTTCT